AGTTTGCTGCTACAGCGTGAGTTGCTATGCGTATTAACGTGCAGGTAATATTTTCTCGTGAAGGACATCATCTAACGGGCCCGCTCACGTGTCGATCCGTATCGCGCTGTCCCTATCGAAGGTGAGGTGCTTGTACACGCGATGCCAGTCAATCATCCGACAAACTAACATGTTTTGGTACGTTTCGTGTATGTTTTCACTACGTATGTATTAGACGGATTCAAGATTGTCTTTGAATCGGTTGCACAAGACACCTACGGCACGTGACCTACAGCCTCAACGCGTGACGTACGTAAACATGAGTACTAAAGCGACGTATCGACAAACACTGTAACATGTTTTGTGTATGTTGTGGGCATATTTTCGTTATGGTTTATTAATATAGATTATTGCCATGGTGCGGGCGAAACACACTGCCAACATATTGCGTTCGCTTCAGATCCAAGCTACCACAAGCAGCAGCAGCAGCAGCGACGCTGAGTCCGATGGCGAGAATGGGAGTGATTCGAATGAAAGTTCTGGAACGAATGAGGCTCGGTTTGAGGGCATTCCTAACGCCCAAACCACGGATGACATAGAGGAAATCGATTCAGTTCCTGATGGAAATACAGGTACCCATTCCGACGCCAAGAACTCGAACGTTAGTGGAGAAGTCATTGAAGAAAAGCTTCCTCAAGCGTCGGCGGATAGTGATCAGGCCGATAGTGAAGATGAAGAGCGCAGCGAGGTAGCTTCGAGCGGCAGTCGCAAGCGCGATCATGCTGAATGTGAGGATGAATTGTACTACGCAGCCCCCTTACGGAAGTATCATCGAAGCTGGAAGGACTTGGAGAAACGCCTAAAGAGTTATCAGGAGGAAACGCACACCGTTCTCGTGATATCTGAGACTATGAATGTGCGTCTACGGAACCAAAAAATCTCGAAGATGAAGATCCATGCTGGTAAACCCCAGTCAGAGTTGCCGCTCGTTCCAGAAGAGCTGGATCCGTATCAGCGAGTGTACATTTGTACACACGGCTGGAAAGAGCGCGTCCGATCAAAAGGACAACGTCCCCGTCAAAACATGAAGGGGGTTGGATGCCCCATGCGCTTTCGAGCCCAGTTCGTTGAACGAGACGAAGGAAAGTGGCGTATTGAGATTAAACAGGCTTTTTACGGCCACAATCACGTGCTATCGGAAGAGGTTTATCGAGTTTATCCCTCTGTCCGTCAAGTTCCTGTGGATTCACCGATCATTAGTGATGTGGAATTAATGGTTGCAAGTGGGAGCAAGGCCAGCAAGATTTACGAGTATATACGAGAACGAACACCGCACTACATCCAGCTCAAAGATGTCCACAACCTCGTAGCCCGGATCAGAAATTCTGGTAAGAAGAGTGCTGCCTCCTTTAGGTGATTATTACTCATACATACTTGTACCTACTTGTTCGTAGGTGGCAGGCTGAGTGACGAAGATTTTGTCGCTGAACTACTCGTGAGCTTCGAGTTGGAGTCGCCTGGAAACGTAGCAGCCATCGACGAGGATGGTAGCGGCCACACGGCTGTTGTAACCATTAGCTCCCAGCATATGCGCAAGCTGTACAAGCGTTTCCCCGAGATACTGCTTGTCAACTGCACCCACAAGACAAACAGGTGTGTTTCCTTCTTAATCATGGTCAAGCAAGTTTTGGCCAGGTTTCGATCATGTTTTCATTTTTAACCATGCTGTGGAGCAATTTCAAGTGGCGAATGACTGGAAGCTGACCAAGGTGATCATGGTGGATAAAGACCTCACTGAAATTGGAGTACTTCGGAGCATGTTTCCTGACGCCAGGATTTTGTTGTGCCAATTCCATGTTTTGAAGTGGTTGCGTGGTGCTGTACGTGATGATAGCAAGTACGACACGTTCCCCAGTGCCATTCTTAAACAGATGGACCATTGCGTTTCGAACATGGTGTATTCGAAGTCGGACGACGAATTCCAGCTTCACGCAGCTGAATTCAAGTATCTTGCTTGTCGCGACGGACGCCACACTCTGTGGACTTATTTCGATAGGAACTGGGTTGCTTGTAAGGAGATGTGGGTGACGCAGCACCGCATGGAACTTCCTCACTTCCGTAATAATACGAACAATCGACTGGAAAGTTTCTTTGGGAAACTCAAGGCTGATTTAGACAGTTCCATGTCTATGCGAGAATGTTTGGAGGCCACGATCCGGTATCAGCGTCGCAAGGAGGATGAGTACGCAACCCGGGTTGTAATGCCTGGTACCCGTCGTGACCTAACCTACGACGACGAAATGAATCAGCTACTGGGAATGACAAGCGAATGGGTGGCTGAAGTTTTTGAACCGGAGTACAAATTCGCGCTGGATCCCAATGTGGCTAAGTTTTACCGTATCGAGGACGAGGATTTGTACGTGAATTTATACCGTGACGGCCGGAAACACAGGGTGGACAAGTACAACTGGATGTGTACGTGCGAGTTCTCGTCGACCATGAAGTTGCCATGCAGACACGGTATGATCTATCGAAAGCACGTGGCTCATATGCTGACTATTCCGTATTCTTCGATTCCTGCCAGGTATGTGTACACAGCGTTTGTCTATGTCTTGAGCATGTTTTCTAATGTGTTACCATGTTTTGAATGTGCTGACCAAGTTTTACCATGTTCCCGGCATGTCTGTTGTGTTCCGGCTATGATTCTTCATGATCATGTATCGTTCTACAACTTAAGATGGTTGAGAGTGGGGGCTTTGGACGAGGAGATTGCAGCTGTAGACGTACCACTGCGTATATCGGCGCCATGTGCAGACGTGAAACGCATGAAGCGCATGAGCGATAGGGACAAGTACAGAGCTGCACAGAGTGCGTTCAGCAGAATCAACACAGAGCTCACCGATCTACCTGACGACAAGTTTCGAGCTGCTCTCGACCACTTGGAAAAATGGGGTGCCCGGCTGAGGCGTGGCGATGTGAGAATGGGGACGCAAGAGGCCCCGGATGAGGTTAAGCCCTCGTCACAAGTTGCCAAACCGGTTGCAGCAGATAAACCCGACGAAGAAAAGGATGCAAAGAGGCACGGGGGCATTTGCGATCAAGAAGAAAGGGATGAAAATGATCAAGAAGAAAAGGAAGGAAATGAAGAGAAGGTTGAAAACGTACACGGGGGCGACCAAGAAGAAAAAAACGAGAACAGCATCTCTAAGGTGTTTTCCAAGCAGAGTCAACAAAAGAAAGTGAAAGTAAAGCCGTTCAATCCCAGAACTCGCGTGGGGCGACCTCGCAAGAACAGAGCGTTGGAGGCATCACAGCGCAAACAATCTCGACAGGAATTCAACCAAGGATGCAAGCTGAGAGGGGCTTTAAGAGGGGATGACGTGGTCGAAGTTGCAGACTTTATCCGGTCGTGTGAGCCGCCCTTAAGCGATCTCGCTTCTTTTTTGAACACTTTTGAAGAGCGATTTTCGAAACTGAAACCGAAGCAAATATCCGTCGTGTGGCGTGTTCCGGAACCCACCATTGCTCCGTATCGTCTACCAGAAGGTTTAGTACGGGAGGAACCTATTTAATCCGGTGCAAGAGCCCGTCTAACGAACCAATTGACCTCTGTACACCAGTGAATGCCACGGCGGAGTGTTGGGTGCTTACAGTCGACGGAATTGGTGAATTTACGCACCAGCAACTACTGGCTATGCAATACGTGTGGACGCTGGTTCACGCAAGCGAAGCAGGAATGAGCTGCTATTCGTGGCTTATGAACATAGCAGACGACCAGATTTCCCATGAAGATACGGCTGGTCTCGCTAAACGTATTTGGGACGCTTGGCCACAAGAAATTCTACCTGGATTCGGAATAGGGTTCGACATTACTTGGGTTCATCTTTACTCTGCTCGAAGTGGAATTTGGTACAACGACAACTTGATTTCGGCTTACGCAAAGACTATGGAAAGCAAGTATGGCAACAACACTACAATCTTTCTACCAGCGATGAAAATACCGTTACCGAAGACCCCCAAAAAAGGGATGCGTCTCCCTACCACTACTCTGAGTGAGGTCTCAGCAGCTAGCGAAGGAGTTATCTTCATGCCGCTGAACATTAATAACAACCACTGGACCTGCATCGTGGTGGATGGGCCCAAGCAAACTGTGTACTGCTACGACAGTACAAACAAGCGCGCAAACCACAACCTACTTGCTGAGCTAGCAGACGAGTTGGTGAAGAAGAGTCTCCCCCAAGGATACAGTATCACCCCCATTCATAGCCCGATCCAGAAGGATGGATACAACTGCGGATTATTCATCTGCTTGTATTTCTGGCGCCGATTCTGGAAGGAAGCAGGCAGTGATTACACGGAGACCGGGTTGGTGCGCCGTCGATGGGATGTTATGCATTTGATCGTGGAGTTTAGCGACGGCAGCAAGGAGAAGGAGACTGTAGCTGCGTAGGCACAACTTCTAAGGAGAAGGAGACTGTAGCTGCGTAGGCACAACTTCTAAGGTTTACCATGATTCACATGCTTTTTACATGTTTCCATGTTTTTAGGTGCGCGCCATGTTTTCATATTTTTCTTGCTTTCATGCTTCGACAACTTTCTCACATGGAGACAGGAAGTATGACAAATGGTAAGTATATTTATGCCATTTAGCAGTGGCATGCCTTCCCGACAATACGAGTCCCCTGTCATTCTTCAATTTTCATGCCATTCGGCCAACATGATTGCCCATGCCTCAACATACCGCAAACATGCCGGAGATAAATTTCATAGATTTCGCAATTTATTTTGGCAAAACATGGACAAAACATGGAATACATACTTAATGCCCATGTTTTGGAAACCTAACCCTTATAGAAAACATGGGCGGTAGCACCCGCCTTAAAATTTTAATGGGTTTTTTTCGTCTGAATGCCATCCCAGCCAATCAACATGCATCACGACGAGATTTTGAACTATGTGTAATACCACCCAAGCCCCTATATTATTACGACCCAAAATTTGACTTTTTTTTTGAGTTGGTTCCGAATATCCCATCCAACGGCAAGCGACATTTTCATCGAAAGTTCTACAAGTTCGTTGTCGTTGAGTAATAAAATATGGCAGTGGGCGACCAATAATAAATTCTGTCAAAGTTCGATCGATCTTTCCAGATCCTGTCTGAACGCAAGACGAGAGAGCGTACGAGAGACCAAGAATTACTTTTTGTAATTCTTGTAATTTACTTTGTAAAGTAATTCTCGTATCGGCCACAACACTCGATGAATAGGGGGGGGGGGGGG